TGTAAGAAACAACATGTGTAGATAGCCTGTTACAGACACTCTGTTACAGACAGCCTCTTACAGACAACCTCTTACAGACAGCTTCTTACAAACATGATGTTACAGACACGCTGTTACAGACACCTGTTACAGAAAACGTGTCAGAGACACACTGTTACAGACACGCTGTTACAGACACTATGTTACAGAAACGCTGTTACAGAAACCCTGTTACAGACACACTGTTACAGACAACTGTAACAGAAACACTGTTACAGACAAATTGTTACAACAGAGTGTTACAGACACCCAGTTACAGACACCGTGTTACAGACACCTTGTTGCAAACGCCTTGTTATAGACACCCTGTAACAGACACTGTGTAAAACACAAGAAAAAATCCAAAAATAACAAATAGAGAAAATTTATCAGTTTTCGAAATTGCGAGTGAGCGAGCGACGCGAATTATGAAAAAAAATCAATAAAATACTGAAAAATATGAAAAAAATTCCTACAAAGACTTTAGTGTATCACAAGTTCGCGCCGCGTACACCTCTTCAGGGTGTCTAGTAAAATGAACCCCCTTCCCATTCATTCAGTATATCTCTCACGAGAGAAGACATGTTCAAACAAGACTCACTAAGAGCAACAAACTTTAAAAGCACAAGGTTAAAAAATGTCTTGAAGAGACACAATTAAAAGTTAACCAGCACAATGACAATAGTCATCAAAAATAAAACACAAAGCAAAGGAGAACTCCGTGGAGTGACACGACTACGCTTGGAGCGTGAGACGAGTGTGATGCCTGCTGGAACGCGGAGCACCCCTTTATACATGGCGACGAGAGGAGTAGGTGGCCGATAGGCGGCGCCACTGAAGCACCCGGCGGCGGTAGGCGTGGGTGAGCCGCCGGAGTCGGTAGATAGGCATAGAGGCGCCCTGCGGCAGGCGCCTCGCGGGCGAGCCACCGGAGTCGGTGTTGTACATGTCCGCACTTGTGTCCTTAACTCCGCGCTCATATCCTATGACCTTCATTATTACACCCCTCACGCGGGCGCGGATCGCGGCGGAACCCGGCTGCCTCCTCTGGCGGGGGCGAATCGCGGCGCGGCTGCCACCTCGGGCGGTACGGCTCGGACGGGTCCGGCGGGGCGGCGGGCGACCGGCGGGCCACCGAGACCATCGCGGACTCCTCGACGGCGACCTCCTCACCCGGGCGGTACGGTCCCGGCGCGCGGGCCCCGAGACCATCGACACCCTCCTCATCGCGAATCTCGTCACCCTCCACTTGTCACACATGTCACAACATGTTCAGGGGGCAGTCCTCCGAGGGGATGATTGTAATCAATTATTACCATGTATGGACCAACCTTTGTATGCACACATTGAGAAATTGCAACAAGGAAACTCGTTACTTGAAAGAGGAAAAGTAATAATGGGAGAAATTACAAAAGTTTTTGTATTGAATATTTGTCATCGCTTTGCAAATGTTAAGTATATAAACTT